GAAATGGTCAAAAAAATGTATCTAGCAAGAAAATTTTGGGTAATCCAACTTGTCCTTCCATTAGAGGACATTATTGGTTACAAAAAATATCAACGCTCTCTTCATTCAAGGAGACAGTGTTCTGCTGAATGGTAAAATTTCAAAGGCAGTCCGTTATCCTGGTAGGTCGTTCCGCGATGTTTTTTTTTTACTATAGGAGCAATTTGTGGTCCCACAACTGGAGGAAATACATTAAATCATCTTCCAACAATATGATTCGCCACCCCACTGGAGTTTGCTGGTAAGGCGATTCCTGGACCAAACGTTTCCAGGACGATGGATTGATCTGGATGAGCCAGTTCCGTGACCTCCACATTCGCATTACCCCACTAGACTTCTTTCCTTGGGGGTATGTCAAAGACATCGTGTATCGCATACCTATAGCAAATATCGCGGAACAACACCAGGATAACGGACATAATCGCAATGTGACTGTGGACATGTTGCAGCGAACGTGGACTGAAATTGAAATATCGGTTGGACGTGCTGAGACCCACTAACGGAGATGTGGAAGTCTACTGACGTCAATAAAAATTCATTGAGTCAGGCTAAAAGATGGTGCAAACTTAATTTTTATATGCCTATTAGTTTTTTTTTGCGTTCAAAATAGGAATGATAATTTAGGAACACCCTGTACTGTATAATACGTACATTTAGTCCATCCATTCGAATCGCGGGTCGAGAGAGATAAGCAAAGGAAGACATTAGTATGTCAGGCAGCACTAGGACCAAAGGCTCTATGATTAATGAGAGGAGAGGGAGAGTGAAGAAGGAAACCAATGACGGAGCTTCCTCTACTTTCAACCCTCTACTCCTCAAAAGTCTAAAAAAAATACCTTTCCTCATACATTCATTGATCTTCCCCCCTCAAAAAAGGGGCAGAGTCGCCCTTGGGTTCGGGGGTGGCTGATTTGATTGACGCTTCCCACTTCTCACTCTCATTAGGCCGCTGCCGCATAGATCCGACAACCCGCGATTCGAATGGATGCACTATACATATATATATTTCTTTCGGCACCTGAAACCTTGGAACTACGTTGCCGGCAAATGAAATAGGAACACCTAGAATGAGCGACCAAACTTTGCCCATTTATTGGAGACATTGAGGTATGAAAATGATAAATCACTTTACGATATATGGCCTCCCGGTGGCGCGATACAATCATTTGACGGTCATGTGAAATGGAAGAGTATACTGCTGGGAGCGTTTGGCAGCTTGTGTGTGGGCCATGCAGAGTACTAACTGTGGTGCGATCACATGATTGGATCACGCCGCTAGGATCCCGGGTATCGAAGAGTGATTCATCGTTAGCATACCTCGATGCCTTCAATAAATGTCCAAAGTTTGGTGGCCATAGCATCGTTCGTTCTAGGTGTTCCTATTTCACTTGCCGGCCGTGTTGTAGTTAAAAAGGGCGACTAGGCGAGGGAAGAACGAAACAGCTGCAGTCCAGAGGGCAATCTGACTTGTTTTCCTTCCACGTCGTGCTTTTTCCGCCATGGTCAGCTGACTAGAACCGGGTTTTTCCTGGACCGCTGGCGGACCGCGATGTCAGTGTCGTTTGATAAGCTGTGATGGTTCTATTAAGGAACTTTGGAGGAAAGGGAAGAACAGGATATTACGTTGACTTCATCCGAATGCAGCATATTTCGGCTGCAAAAGAAACGATGATGCACGCGGTGAAAGCGGCATGAGGGTCTCTGGAGCTCCTCAGATATCGGTTAGGGCATGCCTCAAATTTTCTCTACGTCGCTACACCGGTGTCACTCGTTCTTTTATTGACGATATTAGAAGTTGTTCTAAAGGCATTGATGGAGGCGAGTAATCGCCAGGGTCATTTGCTTGGTCCAGCCAGCAGCTCGAGTTGGTAGCGAGCTTGACTTCTGTGGTCACTGTCAGCCCAAAAGACTTGCGATTTAACCGTTTGAGGATTTATACCTGACTCATATCTGAATCCGAGGCCGGATTTGTATGAAACCTCTGGAAAGGGTTTCGCAAATAACTTTTTCAAGCGTTTCATGTTTATCCACCGTGTTTGAAACGGGCCAGGTCGGGTGTTGGGGCGAGGAGAAAAAAGGCCCCGCTGTTAGCGTTTTTTTATATCAGGATATCGGTCGTGCAAACCGGCGCAGGGAAAATTCTGAGGAAGGAAAATTTACATAAGAAAAAAATGGTTGATGGATGTATGTTGGAATATGCACAGCTAGTTGTGTATACCGTTTTTAAGACAACAAGATCCCAACAGCTGCGCATTATTTACCCCGCATCAGTTATTGCAGCGCAAGCCTCGCTGTGTTTCGAAAGTGAGAGCATTAGCACTCCCGTCACTCTACGTTAGGGTGACCCTGGTTTTACCGGGACGATCTCGATTTTCAATCCCGGTTTTTCAGGCTCTGTCCTGGTTTGGAAATTGTCCCAGTTTTCAACAGAATTACACCTGCGTCCCGGTTTCCCCGCCCTCCCCCCTATATTTTTGCTGGAAAGCTAGAGCATCACTGCTTCCATACCACAGTTCATTGCTGAGACTCCCTTCTCTTTCTGTGTGGTTTTATTATGAAAACTCTTTAATGAAGTCACCTGCTTTATTGCTTTTGTTGGGAGGGAAATTGATGCATGGACTGCTCAAGATGTAGTTGAAGTGACAAGAGGCATTTTGCCATTTTAAAACCAATTTTTTTTCATGAGAATTTCATGAGAGTTTTCTCAGCAATGAATTTCACGTTGAGCAATGGGAAATCTCAGTTGACGCCACAAACAATTAAGGTCTTGCTCTTTGGGAAAGTAAATCTTGGTCTCATGTCTCTACTTTACTCAACTGTAAAGAATTTCATGAGAGCAAGGAGAGAAATGTTTAAAAATAAATCCATTCTTCTAGTAAATATCAATGCGATTCTGACGCATGTAAAGGCTCAATAAAAGTTATTGAAGTTTTCTTTTCATTCTGGTGTCATGGTTTTCACGTTGCGAGGACTATCACTTCGGCATTTTCTTGAAAATGTCCCGATTTTTTCTTAAAAAAATCTTGCCACCCTACTCTAAGTGGGTTATTCTAAAACTCAAATGGTGAAAACTGAATGCCGGTTAAGTTAAGTTTGTCCAATTTGTGCCTCTCAAGGTTACTTCAGGTCTTAGACGATGTTTGAAGGGGAGTGAGGATCAGCTGGGATTCAAAAGTGAAGTTGCATTCATTCGCACACTTCTTGTTTGGTGCAGTGGTGAAGAGGTGGGGGGGAGGGGGGGATCTGAAGGGAAGGAAGGGGAGGAAACCCATGCCTGGGAATCCTCCCCTTCCTAAATATACAAACCGGGACGGGGGGACGGGGGGACGGGGACTTCACCTACGATAATGGGTGACTTCTTTACTTAGGACCCAACTTCTTCCCTCTCCCCCCTCCCATTTATTTGTAGCCCCAAAGAAACTCTCTTCTGATTGTGACGGGCAGAAAGCGAGTGCAGGTGAACTCCCTACTGTAAATTGAAGTCTGGTTGTGCAACTGTTTCTATGTTGTGACTATCATAGTGGAATATGCCCTGGTACCCCACCCCATTAGCAGCAGCACGTTGATTCATTATGCATTATGTTCTGTTTTCAGGTCATGGTACCCTTGTGTCGCTGCACTATAGGATGAAAGAGACCTCTTCTGCATCTTCAGCTGTCAGCTTTTGCATCTGATAGCTGGTATAACCTGTGATTTGTCATCTGGCCCTGACCCTCATGCATTTGGATCTTCCTATAGTGGGCTCTCTCCTGCTGGAACTTCTCTGCCCAGGTGCTCACCAGTAGAACTTCATAAATCAACCAAGGTTAGCCCAAGACTCAATTCCATCTGTTGCCTTTTTATCATTAAATTTGCTGCTACATTCATTATCTAGTGATGTTACCGTGAATGCAAGTATGTGAGCAGGGTCGGATTAAGAAGTTGTGAGGTCCGGGGCAAGTGAATTCCTGGGGCTCCCCCCCACCCCCTCCGCTACTTTACGCAAATACAGTACTTTTTGTATTTCCTTCGGGGGCCCCCTGGAAGAGTGGGGCCCGGGACAACTGCCCCCTTTGCCCCTCCCCCCTCCCCCTTAATCTGGCCCTGTATGTGAGCATCTTCCCCTTTTTCTTTCTCTTCCACTTTCCATAACACTTGCTATGTGGGTATAGCATCCTTAGACCAGTACTTGTGCCTTTTCATTTAAAGCCCAAAATTATTTTCCATGTAGTGATTTGGCAATTTACAGATTAATTCATACCACCAATGGGATAAGCTTAGCGTTGGGGGGGGGGGGTGTGCTTTGTCCTCTGTCCTTCCCCTTTTTCCATCCATGCAACGCTTATGTATACCACCATTGATGCAGTGCATGTTACATTTATGGTGTATGCAAAGAATTAATGGATATGTCTAATGGAAGAAGTGACAGGCATATGGAGCCACGATAAAGGTGAAGAAATTAATTTGAAAATCACTGTAGAAGATCATGTCGATAAATTTAGGGTATAAAGGAAAACCTATTAAGACCAGGAGATCAGTGCTCAATTATGTGAGTGGATTCCTTATATTGCATTTTTGTATCCCTCCTTAGAACAGTATGTTAGACAAATGCATGAACATTCTGATGCTGCTCCTTGGTCTGCTCAGCTGGGAAGTCATTCCAGGTGAAGTAAGACTTGGGTTCTCATTGGTAAAACCCAGGGCCGCCCAGAGGGGGGGGGGGCAATTGGGGCAATCTGCCCCGGGCCCCACGTACGTATCTTTGGAGGCCCCCCCCCCCCCCCCCCGGGGGCCCCCCCAA